GCCCCTTCCAGAGCTGAGATATCGAAACTCAAAAATTCGGCCCGAAAAAAAAAACGACAGTGGTACCCCTTACGTTTTTTTTTTTGGGCGAAAAATTAAGTTTCTCCAATCTTCCCAAATTCTGATAGAGGGCCATGAGACTTAGACCTGAGTGCAAAAATGGAGGCTCTAGCCCCTTCCAGAGCTGAGATATCGAAACTCAAAAATTCGGCCCGAAAAAAAAAACGACAGTGGTACCCCTTACGTTTTTTTTTTGGGCGAAAAATTAAGTTTCTCCAATCTTCCCAAATTCTGATAGAGGGCCATGAGACTTAGACCTGAGTGCAAAAATGGAGGCTCTAGCCCCTTCCAGAGCTGAGATATCGAAACTCAAAAATTCGGCCCGAAAAAAAAACGACAGTGGTACCCCTTACGTTTTTTTTTTTTGGGCGAAAAATTAAGTTTCTCCAATCTTCCCAAATTCTGATAGAGGGCCATGAGACTTAGACCTGAGTGCAAAAATGGAGGCTCTAGCCCCTTCCAGAGCTGAGATATCGAAACTCAAAAATTCGGCCCGAAAAAAAAACGACAGTGGTACCCCTTACGTTTTTTTTTTGGGCGAAAAATTAAGTTTCTCCAATCTTCCCAAATTCTGATAGAGGGCCATGAGACTTAGACCTGAGTGCAAAAATGGAGGCTCTAGCCCCTTCCAGAGCTGAGATATCGAAACTCAAAAATTCGGCCCGAAAAAAAAACGACAGTGGTACCCCTTACGTTTTTTTTTTTGGGCGAAAAATTAAGTTTCTCCAATCTTCCCAAATTCTGATAGAGGGCCATGAGACTTAGACCTGAGTGCAAAAATGGAGGCTCTAGCCCCTTCCAGAGCTGAGATATCGAAACTCAAAAATTCGGCCCGAAAAAAAAAACGACAGTGGTACCCCTTACGTTTTTTTTTTGGGCGAAAAATTAAGTTTCTCCAATCTTCCCAAATTCTGATAGAGGGCCATGAGACTTAGACCTGAGTGCAAAAATGGAGGCTCTAGCCCCTTCCAGAGCTGAGATATCGAAACTCAAAAATTCGGCCCGAAAAAAAAAACGACAGTGGTACCCCTTACGTTTTTTTTTTTTGGGCGAAAAATTAAGTTTCTCCAATCTTCCCAAATTCTGATAGAGGGCCATGAGACTTAGACCTGAGTGCAAAAATGGAGGCTCTAGCCCCTTCCAGAGCTGAGATATCGAAACTCAAAAATTCGGCCCGAAAAAAAAAACGACAGTGGTACCCCTTACGTTTTTTTTTTGGCGAAAAATTAAGTTTCTCCAATCTTCCCAAATTCTGATAGAGGGCCATGAGACTTAGACCTGAGTGCAAAAATGGAGGCTCTAGCCCCTTCCAGAGCTGAGATATCGAAACTCAAAAATTCGGCCCGAAAAAAAAACGACAGTGGTACCCCTTACGTTTTTTTTTTTTGGGCGAAAAATTAAGTTTCTCCAATCTTCCCAAAACTCTGGATTCTGATAGAGGGCCATGAGACTTAGACCTGAGTGCAAAAATGGAGGCTCTAGCCCCTTCCAGAGCTGAGATATCGAAACTCAAAAATTCGGCCCGAAAAAAAAACGACAGTGGTACCCCTTACGTTTTTTTTTTTTGGGCGAAAAATTAAGTTTCTCCAATCTTCCCAAACTCTGGATTCTGATAGAGGGCCATGAGACTTAGACCTGAGTGCAAAAATGGAGGCTCTAGCCCCTTCCAGAGCTGAGATATCGAAACTCAAAAATTCGGCCCGAAAAAAAAAAACGACAGTGGTACCCCTTACGTTTTTTTTTTTTGGGCGAAAAATTAAGTTTCTCCAATCTTCCAAAACTCTGGATTCTGATAGAGGGCCATGAGACTTAGACCTGAGTGCAAAAATGGAGGCTCTAGCCCCTTCCAGAGCTGAGATATCGAAACTCAAAAATTCGGCCCGAAAAAAAAACGACAGTGGTACCCCTTACGTTTTTTTTTTGGGCGAAAAATTAAGTTTCTCCAATCTTCCCAAATTCTGATAGAGGGCCATGAGACTTAGACCTGAGTGCAAAAATGGAGGCTCTAGCCCCTTCCAGAGCTGAGATATCGAAACTCAAAAATTCGGCCCGAAAAAAAAACGACAGTGGTACCCCTTACGTTTTTTTTTTTGGGCGAAAAATTAAGTTTCTCCAATCTTCCCAAATTCTGATAGAGGGCCATGAGACTTAGACCTGAGTGCAAAAATGGAGGCTCTAGCCCCTTCCAGAGCTGAGATATCGAAACTCAAAAATTCGGCCCGAAAAAAAAACGACAGTGGTACCCCTTACGTTTTTTTTTTTGGGGCGAAAAATTAAGTTTCTCCAATCTTCCCAAATTCTGATAGAGGGCCATGAGACTTAGACCTGAGTGCAAAAATGGAGGCTCTAGCCCCTTCCAGAGCTGAGATATCGAAACTCAAAAATTCGGCCCGAAAAAAAAACGACAGTGGTACCCCTTACGTTTTTTTTTTGGGCGAAAAATTAAGTTTCTCCAATCTTCCCAAAACTCTGGATTCTGATAGAGGGCCATGAGACTTAGACCTGAGTGCAAAAATGGAGGCTCTAGCCCCTTCCAGAGCTGAGATATCGAAACTCAAAAATTCGGCCCGAAAAAAAAAACGACAGTGGTACCCCTTACGTTTTTTTTTTGGGGCGAAAAATTAAGTTTCTCCAATCTTCCAAAACTCTGGATTCTGATAGAGGGCCATGAGACTTAGACCTGAGTGCAAAAATGGAGGCTCTAGCCCCTTCCAGAGCTGAGATATCGAAACTCAAAAATTCGGCCCGAAAAAAAAACGACAGTGGTACCCCTTACGTTTTTTTTTTTGGGCGAAAAATTAAGTTTCTCCAATCTTCCCAAAACTCTGGATTCTGATAGAGGGCCATGAGACTTAGACCTGAGTGCAAAAATGGAGGCTCTAGCCCCTTCCAGAGCTGAGATATCGAAACTCAAAAATTCGGCCCGAAAAAAAAACGACAGTGGTACCCCTTACGTTTTTTTTTTGGGCGAAAAATTAAGTTTCTCCAATCTTCCCAAAACTCTGGATTCTGATAGAGGGCCATGAGACTTAGACCTGAGTGCAAAAATGGAGGCTCTAGCCCCTTCCAGAGCTGAGATATCGAAACTCAAAAATTCGGCCCGAAAAAAAAAACGACAGTGGTACCCCTTACGTTTTTTTTTTTGGGCGAAAAATTAAGTTTCTCCAATCTTCCCAAAACTCTGGATTCTGATAGAGGGCCATGAGACTTAGACCTGAGTGCAAAAATGGAGGCTCTAGCCCCTTCCAGAGCTGAGATATCGAAACTCAAAAATTCGGCCCGAAAAAAAAACGACAGTGGTACCCCTTACGTTTTTTTTTTGGGCGAAAAATTAAGTTTCTCCAATCTTCCCAAAACTCTGGATTCTGATAGAGGGCCATGAGACTTAGACCTGAGTGCAAAAATGGAGGCTCTAGCCCCTTCCAGAGCTGAGATATCGAAACTCAAAAATTCGGCCCGAAAAAAAAACGACAGTGGTACCCCTTACGTTTTTTTTTTTGGGCGAAAAATTAAGTTTCTCCAATCTTCCCAAAACTCTGGATTCTGATAGAGGGCCATGAGACTTAGACCTGAGTGCAAAAATGGAGGCTCTAGCCCCTTCCAGAGCTGAGATATCGAAACTCAAAAATTCGGCCCGAAAAAAAAAACGACAGTGGTACCCCTTACGTTTTTTTTTTTGGGCGAAAAATTAAGTTTCTCCAATCTTCCCAAAACTCTGGATTCTGATAGAGGGCCATGAGACTTAGACCTGAGTGCAAAAATGGAGGCTCTAGCCCCTTCCAGAGCTGAGATATCGAAACTCAAAAATTCGGCCCGAAAAAAAAAACGACAGTGGTACCCCTTACGTTTTTTTTTTTTGGGCGAAAAATTAAGTTTCTCCAATCTTCCCAAAACTCTGGATTCTGATAGAGGGCCATGAGACTTAGACCTGAGTGCAAAAATGGAGGCTCTAGCCCCTTCCAGAGCTGAGATATCGAAACTCAAAAATTCGGCCCGAAAAAAAAAACGACAGTGGTACCCCTTACGTTTTTTTTTTTGGGCGAAAAATTAAGTTTCTCCAATCTTCCAAAACTCTGGATTCTGATAGAGGGCCATGAGACTTAGACCTGAGTGCAAAAATGGAGGCTCTAGCCCCTTCCAGAGCTGAGATATCGAAACTCAAAAATTCGGCCCGAAAAAAAAACGACAGTGGTACCCCTTACGTTTTTTTTTTTGGGCGAAAAATTAAGTTTCTCCAATCTTCCCAAAACTCTGGATTCTGATAGAGGGCCATGAGACTTAGACCTGAGTGCAAAAATGGAGGCTCTAGCCCCTTCCAGAGCTGAGATATCGAAACTCAAAAATTCAACCCGAAAAAAAAACGACAGTGGTACCCCTTACGTTTTTTTTTTGGGCGAAAAATTAAGTTTCTCCAATCTTCCCAAAACTCTGGATTCTGATAGAGGGGCATGAGACTTAGACCTCAATGAGCAAACATTAGACTATGTGCAGGTAGTACTCATCATGGGATTGGTAGTGTCAAATGCAATTCGTTTGTTGTGTCAGATGTCTTTTGACTAGACTACATTTTTCAACACGCCAAAGTGGCTAGTGGGAGTGACTGTGTTACCTACCATGCGTGAAATCCATATATGATCCAATCCAATATATGAAATATACCATTTTAAATATATGAAATTATATTCTTATAAATATAATAAGACTATCCATCTATGAAAGGCGTCATTAAATAAAATGCATTATTATTATTATTAGAAGTATAATTATAGTTATATAATTACATATCATAATATACCATTTTATATATATATATATATATATATATATATATATATATAAATTTAAATATATGGAAATATTATTATATTAGAATTATAAATATTAATTTGTTCATACATTTTTCAAATCTATTAAATGATATATCAATTATATTAACATTTCACACATTCAATGTTCACAGGTTTAAACCCTTACGTTTTGCCGTTGGGTGAAGTGATCTGAAAGCAGTATCGCCGGTCCTCACACTCCACGGCCATGACAGAACTGTTGTCCAGATCCAGGACCATCCCGCCTGCCACTGCGCCCCGCGGCTGACACATCAGGTTCCCCCCCTGCGTGAAGAAGAACAGCCTGTCCCACGCCGTGGTCACCAGCCCCGTCTTACTGTGGGACACAAAGCTCAGTGTGTTAAACCGGACACCTCCCCTGGTCACAAAATCAAGTCTGACCGAGATCATGTGACCCGTACTTCCTGATGTTGAGGTAACCTGCTTTCTGGATGAGGGCGCGATTCACGGGGACTCGATCGTGATCTGGCATGTAGACGGTGTCATCCACGGACAGGAGCTCTCTCTGAGACGAGCGCATGACCTCTGCCTCGACCTCTAACTGAGACTCAATACTGAAGCACAGACAGAAAATGAGGGACTCACAGACAATCCTCACACACGTATGTGTGTGCCCTGAAATAAAGAATTGTCCTTTACCTCCGATTCATGCTGGAAACTGAGCTTAGAAAACTGTCCATCTTCTTCGACACCAGCTCCATCCCCTTCTTAAAGAAATGTACCTGTGGATAACCAAACAGGATTGAAGATTATTCAGCTACATTGATTATAATGCACACAAACAACACTTAAATTGAAGCAAAAAGTCCCGAGGGCATGCATTAGTCAGTCAAGAGTTGTCGTTGGGCACACTGCAAAGGATACGCACAACCTTGAGTGTCTAAGTGATTTATTGCTAAGTGATTTATTTAGTTAAACGGAGCTGTAACAATGTGATAAAAAAAAGACACAAATGTACATGAAATAACTGAAATAAATATTTATATTAATATTCATAAATATTAATATATTCACATAGAATAATCATTTCGAACACATTTTTTTTCGCTTGATAAAAAATAATGTAACAAAATAATAATGGAAGTGCAAAACTTCCAAAAATGGAACGAACAAATAATATTATTTGTTACCTTAATATAATATTAAGGTAACAAATGTATACTAACACTACAATTATAAATGTATAATAACACTGTAATGTAAGTATATAATTAAATGTATAATTAAATTGCAATAAATGTATAATAACACTGTAATAAATGTATAATAACACTGTAATAAATGTATAATAAATCTGTAAAAAATCTATGTGTAATGTATGTGTAAAATGTGTAATTACATTGTAATGTATAAATACATTTTTTGCACTACTTTTAAAAAAATTAACCGCTACTTTTTTTAAAAAGAATGGCTACTTTAAAAAAAAGAATTGATTCTTTTAAAAAGTTTTTTTGAAAAGAATCGATTCGCTACTTTTCTTTTTCAAAAAGTAGCGATTCTTTTTGAAAAAGTAGTGATTCTTTTGAAAAGTAGCGATTCTTTTGAACAAGGAATCGATTCTTTTGAAAAGTAGCAATTCTTTTTTTTAAAAGTAGCAATTCTTTTGAAAAGTAGCGATTCTTTTTGAAAAAGTAGCGATTTTTTTTTTAAAGTAGCGATTCTTTTTGAAAAGTAGCAATTCTTTTGAAATACAGTGTCAGATGACGACATCACTTCCTGTCGGCCACCGTAACTTCTGTTGGTTGTAATTCATAACCTCACCACTAGATGCCGCTGTAAAGTCGGCACGAAATCGATCCAATGGCGGAATTCGATCTGTGGTGAAGGTTTCACGCGTGTTCCGTCTTTCCCATGGCAAAGTGATTTTTAATTAAATGCAACATATTTAATCTTATCAATTAACTCATTTCATCTGACTCCATAAAATGAAAATAGGTTTATCAATGATATCCGTGCATCACTTAATACGTTAATGCTTGACAATTCCTTTTAACTTAATGAAAATATAGTCAAAGTCTGTTAGAATTAGGGATGTCCCGATCCGATACTCAGGGATCGGGTATCGATCAGACGAGGCCGATCCAAATCCGATATTGTGCGTATACTATTATGTGTTATTGTTAAGCCCCACAAAAGGCACAAAAACATTCTAAAGTACCATAACGTTTTCGTGCACTCTAATATAAGTGTTCTGAAGCCATTATGCGCGAGATAAATTCATATTTAAGTCATTAAATTCAAGATCATGTAAACTTTTCCCTCCGTTGCAGCTGTCAGTCATTCTCCATCTGTGTTCAAACATCGCGTCGCGTTCGGTTACAGTCAATGATGAAACTATCTTCAAGATGATTCAATGTTAATACTTTTATACTTGATCTTTAGATAAAGGTCTATGGCGCCGTGTCATGATTATCTATCGTCCGTTAAATACCGTATTTGGGTTCTTCTTTATTAAATCCAGGCAATTGGTCGAATTAAACATTTATTAAAATTAAGATAAAATTAATACAAAAACGAAATTCACCTTAATGAAAGGCTTTATGTTTGATGTGAAAGTTTTAAAGCAGTCCTTCAGAGGCGCTTTCAGAGTGGTCAAGTCCGTAACGGGGAACTTTCACGTAACATTATTTATCCCTCATAAATACATACACGAAAAATAAGACAAAATTAATATGTATTTATGTTCTGTGGAGACGAGCCAACCCTTCTTTCCAGTGAGTAGTATTACTTTTTACACTTTTGCCACCTAAAAGTGAAAGTTTTTTTGTGTGTCACATATCCATAACGGATGTGTTTTTCCCCTTAAATATAAACGCGTGTGGAGTGATATTTTTCAAATGTCTAAAGGGGGCATGGATAAGACGTTTCAATATACTGATTTTCTGAGAATTTACATTAAGTTTTTTTTTTTTTTTTACCTCAAATGTCAAGTCCATGATGGAATTGCCCATTTTTAAAGAATTTATCCTCAACTAGTTTTGTGATGTAGGTCTACATATTTTATAATGTTAACTTAAAATAATACTAGTATATTAAAGATGTGATATATTCAAATTAAATGACCCATCATCAACTTGATTGTCTTTTTCATGAATAAACAAAAACTGTTAAGTTGTCTTGATTAATACTGTGAAGCAGCTTTGATACAATCTGTATTGTGAAAAGCCCTATACAAATATAGGCCTATTTGACTTGATTTGACTTGGTAGCATTAGATTTGGACAGGATAACTCTGGGAGTTGGAAGGGGTTTGTCTGATTTTGCCTTCTCACACACATTTCTGTTTCATATAGGATGTCAGACAGCCATCATTTCTACTAAAGAAAATGACAAAAATAGTAACGCACATTAAATTTGATAAGTAACTTTAATTGGATTACTGGTTTGGAAATAGTAACGCATTAGATTACTTGTTACTGAAAAAGTAACGCGTTACCGGCATCACTAATTGTATATAGGCCTATGTATGTACATATGTTTGTTTAGTTTAATTGGGTTGGGGTGTCGTGGAAAAAAAAAAATAACTACAAAGGGGTGCCTTGCTTTCAAAAAGTTTGGGAACCACTGCCCTAGAGACCAAACTCCTTGTGTGACAGTTATTCCTAAACTTCTTAAAAACCTTATTACCTTTTGATTTACTTCTTTGGGAATGAGACATTATTATCAGTCAGTCACCCTGAGGTCTTCAAAATTTTGCTTTTGCAAAAGCAACTTTAATTGATGTGTTGTCACAAGTGTGCAAATATGAAGAGTTTTGGAACGCAGCTCATCCAGGAGAGAGTGAAGTGAAGTGAAGTGTGTGTGATGGCGAGTGTCAGACCTGAGCGTGTGTGAATCCCAGCATGGGCTCCAGCATGGCCACTTTCTTCCTGTACTGCAGCGCATTCAGAGCACAATAATACTGCATCGCCGCCTGATGCTGCTTTCTGCGGGAGTACGCCACCTCTCTCACCACCTCCGCTTTAACCTGTCATCAACACACACATCTGGCTCAGTGCTGGACTCGGGGGGAGTCGGGGGTTTCACACAACACATCCACATTTACCTTTTCATTTTCTCTCTTTTTAGGTAAACGACTATATTTCACCATGGCAGCTTCATGCTCTGGAGAGAGAAAGAGAGACCGAAAGTGATTTGCATTCAGCATATACATATTTTTTCTATCATCCACTAATATTAAATAGAGATGTTATTAACTTCATACCGTCACTGGCAATGCCGAATATCTCCTTCAGTGTGCTGATCTCTGAAAACAAATTCATCACAGCTCTTTAAAATTTTGGTTGAGGTCGGATAGTCTGACACTTCATATCAATCAATCAATCAATCAAATTTCTTTATTCAGTCATGATGTTATTATAGACACAACAATAATCTCCACAACAACAAAATAATAACATTCATTACTGAATAGGAGCATAAAGAAGACATAGTCTTATAAATGAATGCCCCTTTTTTCAATAATCTAAGCTTATACAAAACAGATGGCTCGCCATTTTTTTTTTCCTTTCTTCTTCTTTCCCTTCTTTTTATATTATATATATATATATATATACTGTATATATATATTACTTCAATTTTACTTCACATAGTAATAAGTAATTAACAATTACCAATTTAGAAAAAAAACCAAAAAAAAAAAAAAAAAAAAAAACAAAAATAAAACATTGTTTCTTATGCTTCACTTCCTTCGTATTTTTCAAGTACATATTTTTTGTACATTTTATTGAATTGAACAATCGTGTTACATGATTTTTGACCTCTATCCAAAGAGTTCCATAAACTAATCCCAGTTACAAGAAAGCCCTTTTGTTTTTTTGAGGTACGTGAATATGGTACACTAAAATTGCCTTTTCTTCTGTTGTTATTGTCCGTGATTAACATGAATTTATTTTTAATATGTGTTGGTACTAAATTATTTTTCACTCTCCACATAATTTGTAGTATTTTGAAACTGACCAACTCTTTAAATTTCAAAGTCTGCAGTTTTATAAACACTTTATTTGTGTGGTCTCGTGAACCTTGGTTAGTCACAATTCTTATGGCTTTCTTCTGGATCATATCATCAGGATCATATCATCGAAAACAGGTTTTTTCACTTTTGAAAAACATATAAAAATACATATAAAAAGTATTTCAATACATGTAAGAGTCTTGAAGGTACGGTAAACATGAGAGAGATGGTGAAAATACTATTGAAATTATTTAAGAAACATTGAGATTGAGATATGAGATACTATTTTATAAATAAGCTTGTTTATAATAATAAATGAAAACGTAAAGAAATATTTTTTGTCTGCTCAAAATCGAATTTGATAAAATAGACACCAACATTCAAGAAATAACTGAACCAATATCAAAATTAATATTAATGTTAAATTTAAAAACAAAAAAAAATGTGTTTTTAAGATTAGTGTAATATAAGTGTAATATACATAATATAATTATTTCATTATTAAAAATATATATTTGAAAAAAATCTAATTTGTCAACTTTTGAAAATAACTGAATTAATAATAAAATAAATTAAATCAAAAACAAATTTATTTGACTTAAAATAAAACAATATAAAAATGCATTATATTGTAAATAAAAAAAAAAACAAACAAACAAAAAAACGCTACAACAGTGGATTTTAGAGAACATGATCTCTAAAGTAAGTGTCGCACCTGTAAGGTCCTTCTCTCTGAACTGCACCATGGGAAACACCATCTTATCAGCAATCTGTGTGGCCAATTCATTGTGCAGAGAGTTCAGCTAGAGAGAAATTAAAATACACTTGTTATTCAAATATTTATAAAATATTACTGTGGTGTGTTATTAATGTCACACTGAATTGTTGCCATTTTACTTTATAATCTGAATAATATGGACTTAAACTCTGCAGTATGTGAGGCAAAAGATGAAGGTCATATGATCAGGTGATCTGTCATTTTGGCAAACATCAAACAACCAGCATGAAGAGAAACAGCCCACGCCAGCTGCCACACGACTGATGGACTCTGACAGAGTGACCCACACACACACACACACACCGCAGGAGTCTCCTCACCTCTTCCACGCTTTTGGCAAAGTGCTGTAAAGTGTTGATCACCTCTTCATCGCCTTTCGCCAGAGCAAAATTCTGCACTCACAAACCATCATGTCAGATTTATTGACAACACATCTGATAGTCAGACATTCCCAGAACTCATCATTACTCCTAACACACTGCTGACGTTTAAAAGAGAAAATAAAAAGCGCTCACCTGCTTCTCATACTCCAGGAGCTGTTTAGAAAGCTGTTCGGTCGCCAGAGCCATTTCATTCTGCGAACAGGAGACTCAATTAGTCAGATGAAGAATCAGAGTCGGCACCAGTTTGATTGCATGGGGAGGCTTATTTCATTGATTTTTATTAAATATAAAGTAATATTTACAACATATCTTATTTGCCAAACATATGAATAATCCAAAAATATTGATTATATAGATCATATGTATGAATCATGGTTTATATATTTATTCAGGATTTATAAACATTTAAACGTACAGTATGCGATTTTTGGCCACCAGGGGTCACTCGTTTAAAATAATAACAAAAGACGTACTTTGATGACGTCGGAAAGAGCGTGGGCTCACGGGAGTTGTTGTCGCTGTCAATGACAACCAGCTCAGCTCATGACATGACATCATCGTTTCACAAAATATACGGATATACGGCATCTCTCTGTAGATTTAGCTTGTCAAGAAGCTTTAAATGCAACCCCAATGTTTACCTGTGTCATGCTTCTCCTGTCCCAAACACTTCTCGGGTCATATTTTTCAGGTACGTTTGAGCTTTAGCTAATGAGCTGACTGTAGCAGCAGAACGTGCAGGAAAAGCGTAATCGTGGTCCATAACTATTATACAGACGAATATAAATATTTATATTACGCTACTTCAATGAATGACCTATTTTAGAAAATTTTTCATATATAGAGCGCACCGGATTATAAAGCACATAAGATACTGCAGTCAAACGTTTGACTGGGTTTGCGTTATTCATCCACTATGTGCTAAAGGCTAAAGGGAATGTAGTGAGTGCGCGGCGCCGGAGGTGAGGCGTTTATTTGAGCTGGAGCGGGCACGTACATTCGCAGCCTGACTCATATGAGTATTCAATGTGCGCGGCTCACTAACAGCAACAGTTGGCTGTTTTGAATGAGACGACACGGTTACTGTGAACGGGGAGCGCTTTATGCGCGAGCAGCACCGGGGACAGTGTGTCTGTTGAGAGTGAGCGCTCGTGAGCGGGCATGTGATTTACACACATAAAAATACGTACTACTTTTTTTATTTCGTCATTTTCTTTGCTTTATTGGCGGTAGTCCAGTGTTCCCTTTGTGTTTGGCGGTTTCGCCGGGTTCCGCAAGGAAGTTAGAGAAAATAGAGGAGTCAAAGGTTATATGACGCCATAGACGGGCGACGAAACGGAAATAAAGAAACGTCCCGTGTCTTCGAATTAAACTATAAATTTCTCCGTAATTGAAATTTGGTGGAAACTGTCGGGATAATGCAAGTACACATCTAACAGAAATATATAACATAGATACAGTTATTTTTGCTATTTTTAATGCAGAAAAAATACATATTGTGGCTTTAACTGTACATTCAGGATTTGCATTTTCATATTCAGGATGTAACTATATATCAAACCCTATATATATATATATTCAGATTTTTCTATTTATTCATGGTTTACATTTATTTTGAGTTATTTTCAGATTTACATCTTTATATTGTGGTTTGCATTAATATGTTCAGAGTAATAACTACATATTCAGATGTAAAAATAAATATTTATAAATTCACATTTACATACTTAGAATTGCAGCTTTATATTCAGGGTTTATAAATATCTATGAAGATTGCATATAATTATTTCCTATTATTATATTTGTTATATATTAGTATTATATATATATATATATATATAATTATTATATTTACATTTAATGACACTATTAAATAATACTATTATTATTTTATATTTAATGTCATTTAATGATTACATTTAATGAGTTTGCAATCCATTTATAGGGTTAGTTCACCCAAAATGAAAATGATCATTTCAGAGGCCATTCTTCTGCTGAAACTATGGCCGTTTCCGGAAGTCAGTCATTATAGTTTCTAAAATTACAAATATGGATATTGCGATTCATTGGGCTTTAAAAACTCAGCCTCCCATTATAAATCTCGGTTTAGAGCCAGGGTATTTTATAACTCTGATTGTGTTTGGCTGAATTGAAGAAATTCATATACACCTAGGAATGCTTGAGGGGGATAATTTTCATGAATTCGGGGTTCATTTACATTTTTGTAACTCTTTGACAATGCGCCATATTTCAAAGTATAAAGGCATAATCAATGAAAATAACGCAGGGTTGGACTTTGAGTTAGAATTTGATTGGATTGTAGATGCTGTGATACTATTGGTTAATATTTTACCCCCACCCCTGAGGCCTTGATGACATCTTTAAAATACCATGCACCGATAAATCATGATCAATAAACGGAATATTTATTTCGATTCACAATTAGACATAGTAAATTTCGCTTATATGTTGCCTCCACTGTTGAAGTCAATGTGAACATGTGTGTGTGTGTGTGTGTGTGTGTGTGTGTGTGTGTGTACCTGTGCTCCAAACACTCTCTGCATAGACTGGAGCAGCTGGTTTGTGTAGTTAGTGAGCGTGCCTGCATCCTCTTCAAACACACTGAGCAAGGACCGCGTCTGCCACAGAAAACACAAAAGCCAGTAAACACTCGATATTCACACAGTGTTAAATGTGCTCGGCATCCGTGCAGCGTGAAGCATGCTGGGTGTATCCACAGGTGTGTTCTGTCTGGAATCAGATCAGACTTCTGGGTGTGTTTCCAATGCAAACAAAGTGACTGGCCGGGCGGAGACATCTGTGGGTTCATAATCTCAAACATAGGGCATTATGGGACATGACTCAGACACATACCTTGTGCATATAAAGTAAATTATTTGTTCACTGAGAATATCACAAGTATGCGGGAGTGGCTTCACAGTTTGAACTGCATCCAAATTAGGCCTAATTATGATTTTTTTAATAGCTAATAAAAATCAAAACCGATTGCAAAACAATGTATAGTGTTATTCAAAGTTTTTTGTGTGTTTTACCTTATTTCTCACATGCTGATCTGACGTCTCTGATTATTTGTTGTTGTTTCGTATCTGCCAGTGATGTCTCAGTACTGATACTAATATATATTTAATAGATCTGATACAGCATGTGATCTAATGTATCAGGATCAGGCTTCTGTGGGTTTGACCAACTAAACAACATCTCACTCCTCCCATACAGGCCCCTCCATTCACAACACCACTGCCAGCGAAACATTTACAGCTTTAAAGCACCAAAGCCGCAAATAACACGCGCGACTGCATGTTTGACGCGCGTCTCTAATTTATAAACATATGATCAGCATACATGTGTCTCATCTGTGGCTCTTATCTAGGAAAAAAAACTTTGAATAATAAACAATGCAAGCAGTTACATAAACTTAACGAGCTGAGGTGATTCCCTACTGAATCGCGCACTTAAATTGATGTTTAATTCAGATTAGCTTGCACATATGCTCTGCGACCAACGACATACGCGCGCGTCTCGACAGCGCATCATCAGTTTTGCAACCCAAAACACACTAAACCGAATAGTTATGAGTGCTAAAACATTGAACAAAGATCCAGTAAACAGATGTTTACCTGCGGACTGTCCTGCAGGGCCTCCTCGAGTAATAATTTGTGGTGTACGGCAGGCATCTTTCGCGTCGGAGACAGTGAGAATGGAATACAAGGATGAGGACTACGTTTCCCAGCTGCTCAAATACGACCCGGAACTGCTTTGGGTGCATGCTGGAGAAAGCAGTCATCTTCTCTGTTCATACTGGGCATTATACTGTCTATGGCATTTACTCTGCTTCAAAAATACACAAAGCATAAATAATAATAATAATAATAATAATAAATAATTTATATTGTAATTAAAAAATAGTTCGTTCGTTCGTAGTTCTAACTTCTATCCCACAATACCCTCTGCTGGACTATACTGGTACAATGTCACTTTTTGACAATGTAATATGAAAATAACAAAAAAATAATATGAAAATACCATATTATTTTTTTTCCATTTGTTTATTTACTTATTTGTTATTTGTTACTACTTATTTACATTTGTTTATTTATTACAGGTTTATTTACGGTCTATATCGTATACATAGGCTATACGTTTTTCATTCACATAAAATATAGATTTTGTATATTTTTTATTACATTTTAAATCAGTTCTGCATTTAGTATTTTCTTGATCTCTATTTTTTTCATTTAGATTATGACATAATTCTCAGTTCACAATAGTCCTAATGAACTCCTAATAGAAACTCCCATTTTGTCCAGAGTTTGATCATGTGCCACAGATCATCAGAAAGTTTAGCAGTGGATGATAGACTCCAGCGGTCCCCGAGAGGCTCCTACTTCTGTCATAACAAACATCTCTTTGTGAACACCTCAAGGCTGAGTTCTCATGATCCCAGACCTTTAAACCCAGAAACCAACATCTGTGTGTCCACCATTTGTCATCAGCCCTGTCCAAACAATATCTAAGTAGAATTCCTAAAAACGGAGACAGACAAACAGATAGATTCATTAGATAGATTTTATTATATATTTATTACTTTAATGTTTTTTATTATTTCTTGCTTTTTACAGTTTCTGACTGATATTTTTTAGTATAAACATACATTAAGTCTTTTGATTCATTTTATTACATTATAGCTTGCTTTTTATTGCTTTGGTTGTATTGTGATTTCGTTAAAATATTAAATTGTCATATATTTTAAATAAATTATAATTTAAAATGCATTCTATTGTTTAATTTAATACATTTGAACAGATTTTATTATTTATTTATACATTTTAATAACGTTTTCTCATTATTTAATTGCTTTTACTTTTGATATTATGTTTATTTATTTTAATACATTTACAGTTTGGACGGAGTTCCTGCACACCGTGTACAACTGGAGGCTGGCCACACCCCCTTCTGTTACCACGGCAACTCTATCAGGGTGGAGGAGAGGACGAATCATGTGAGGTCATCTCTCTCTCTCTCTCTCTCTCTCTCTCTGCAGAATGATCGAGGCTGTGTTCAAGGGAGCTCGTGCATCACATCAGCGCCGTCCTTCACTCATCCGTCCTCCAAAGCAGACACGGAAGAAAGCTGTGTGTACATGTCAAAATGGGATGTGGAAATTCCTCTGCCACCAGCACGACAGCAGGAGGTGAGTGTGTGTGTGTGTGTGTGGCTCACTTACTCGCGCGCTGCTTTTTATCAATGGAAGTGTCATGTTGTGGATTCTAGCGCGTGCACTTTGTTTTGCCCTTAAACACTTGATTTCTGGAAGTTAAAGTTCGTGTGGAAGCCTGATGAAGTCCCGTACGTCTTGGGGACCTCGTGTCCTCCTCTGTTGTTAGCAGAAGCGGGTGTGGAGGAATGTTCCGTTAGTGTCAGGTGAAGGATCATTCTGAACATCAGTCATCATGGAGAATTTATCCCTCACGTCTAATATGTATTCAGGTCAGATCTGAGCTTATAGACTTGATGAAGAGAGAGAGAGCGTGTGTGAGCGGCGCACGCTGGAAAGAAAAAAACAAAGATCTCTTTACCATCTCAATCGTTTCTATCCTTTTCTTAGAGGTTTAGAAGAGATCTTAAACTGTGCGTATGTCCGACCAAAGTCCGAATCATAACTATCTCAATATGAAGTCAAATATTTGTCATTATTGGCATTGGTTCCATGAAGAACCTTTAATATCCATAGAAGCTTTCAATTGCTCAAAGGGTTCTTTATAATTATTAAAATCTTCTTAAGAAAAAAATGGTTCCTTTTGGTTCCTTTAAGAACTGTTCAGAGACTGCCTTGGTGGAAAAGGGGTTCTTCTAGGGATAAACATAACCCTTTATGAAACCTTTATAGTTTTGTACTCTTACTTTTTTGTCTTTTTTTTTTCAGTAGAAACAACATTATTTAGCTGTAATATAACTGAGAACACAATTGTGTGTCCTCATGTGTCCTGAGCTATAAAAGATCAATATTTGAGCAATACATGTTACACGAACAAGCCTGGACGTTGAAAATTCAGACGCGAGAACAGCTGTAGATGACTCAGCTGTCAGAAGCAGTGAATGAATTTAAATGTGCAGAGAATTTAATTTCAAAATGCTTTATTGGTAATCACCGTTTCTCATTGAAATGCAAACTGGATACAAGAAGAGTGTAACAGCAATGCTCGGGTTCATTATGATGTTTCGGTTTCCTCTGTTTGCCTGCTGTGTTCCTAAAATACACTGAACAAAATTATAAATGCAACACTTTTGTTTTTGCCCCATTTTTCATGAGCTGAACTCAAAGATCTAAGACTTTTTCTATGTATACAAAAGGACTATTTCTCTCTAGGGCTGGGTATTGACACAAATTTCTCAATTCGATTCGATTTCGATTCACAAGCTTGCAATTCGATTCGATTTCGATTCAATATTGATTATTTTGGATATCAGGTACAATAAATGGCAAATTTTCTCAAGGAAATCAAATCTCTTAACTAATGCTGTAAACTATGGGAGTCCAGTTGTAGCCTATAGGCTTCATTATATATATATATATATATATATATATAAACATTTAAATGGTGGCTGTCATAAAAACTTGCCAGATTTATTTAAATTTGCATTAAATATTGAAGAACATGAAGATTATAATGCATATGTAATATGGTGTATATATTTAGCAAAATGTTCCTCTCTAGAGTTATTTTTTTCTAGCTGACTAACGAGTTGATGTGGGTTTTTTTTAGGTAAATATGATGATCACATTGATTACAAGCTGTTTAACTGACGTCTTTCCTCGGTTGAAACGCTGATTGAGCGAATCAATGTGACTTGATACGGATTTCGATAAGTTGTACTCTATCTTTTAACACACTTTCAGATGCTCATTCATGAGTGCTGCTGCTTCTCTTGAGCTGCGCCAGAGCGATCTCACGCCACAGCGCCAAAACGTTATTTATGTTTTTGAATTTCTAAAGAAAATGGACGTAATTTGAAATTTGAGACTTTGTTTCATATCAATAGTAACAAAGGACAAAGATTATTGCGATTTTTTTGGATGCGCGCAGCCGCGATACAATGTTCCATTCATTCAAATGAAACAGGATGACTAATCGATTCTTGAGAATTAAGATCGATATCGGTTCGTAAAAATGAGAATCGATTAATATCGAGAAATCGATATTTATTACCCAGCCCTATTTCTCTCAAATACTGTTCACAAATCTGTCTAAATCTGTGTTAGTGAGCACTTCTCCTTTGCCGAGATAATCCATCCACCTCACAGGTGTGGCATATCAAGATGCTGATTAGACAGCATGATTATTGCACAGGTGTGCCTAAGGCCCCGTCCACACTACTGTGTTTTCGTTTAAAAACGGAGAATTAAAACGAATACGATCTCCGTCCACACCAGCGTTTTATCTGCGTATTAGAATTGATCTCCGTCCACATTAAAACGACTGAAAATGCAGATCACGTGACCATTCACCAACACTGGGCAAGCACGTGCCGGTCTAAACAGAGGCTGACGAATCAGGGAAGGACGCGTCATGACTGATGACACCCAATCATTGAGCCGAGCGTGAGCCTCTGCGTGAAAGTTTCTAAACTCCTCCGTTTTGTCCCGTCTTCACTAAAACGCCCTCTGGAGATTCAAAACGCAAAACGAAGCTGCAGCGTTTCTAAACTTCTCCGTTTTAGGTCTTCGTTTTTTCCGTTTTAGTCTGGACGGGAGGTGCAAACGTAGTAAAAGGTCTCCGTTTTTAAACGAAAACGCAGTAGTGTGGACGGGGCCTTAGGCTGGCCACAATAAAAGGTCACTCTAAAATGTGCAGTTTTACTGTAGTGAAGGGGTCTGGGGGGTCCGAAAACCAGTCAGTATCTGGTGTGACCACCGTTTGTCTCACGCAGTGCAACACATCTCTTTCGCATAGAGTTGGTCAGGTTGTTGATTGTGGCCTGTGGAATATTGTTCCACTCTTCAATGGATATCTACAGTTGCTGGATATTGGTAGGAACTCGAACACGCTGTTGTATAATCCAGAGCATCCCAAACATGCTTATGTGACATGTCCGGTGAGTATACTGGACATGCATACCGTTTAAAAAAAATCTGATTTTTGACATTTGTGAATCAATTCAGCATTGCCCACGTCCGCATCGCGGTGCATCTAAGAATCGATTTTTTCCCCCAACGGGCCTCAGGATCTTGTCACGGTATCTCTGTGCATTCAAAATGCCATCAATAAAATACACCTGTGTTCATTGTCCATAACATACACCTGCCCATACCATAACCCCACCGCCACCATGGGACACGCGATCCACAACTTAGACATCAGCAAACCGCTCACCCGCATGATGCCGTCTCCCATCTGCCCTGTACAGTGAAAACCGGGATTCATCCGTGAAGAGAACACCTCTCCAAAGTCACTGACGCCACTTTCTCTGAAACGCTTTTGGAGACGGCTTATGGTAGAGAAATGAACATTCAATTAGCAGGCAACGGCTCTGGAGGACATGGTGTGCCAATTGACCTATGGCTAAGCCACTTGTTTCCATTGTCCAGGGACGAGCGTGTGAAGAATCAGTGGTCAGAGTTCATATTTGCATCGATACCACAACAGTATAGCCTGAACCTTGTGTTCTCATCATTTTAATGACGAATCGTTCGCAAGCCGGTTGTTCCTGAAGGAGGGCTCAGTATCCAGTGTTTATGGATCAGGTTCGTCCTCCTCCGAATCACAATCTGTAAGTAATATTAATAATGTTTGCTGCTATGTTTTCTGTAGCATGTACAATATAGTTATATTGTGTTGTGTACACTCCGCGCAGCTTCTAAGCGGGGTAAAGTTAGTTTTGTTTTTGATATTCACCAGACATTCATTGAAAAATGGCAATTACCTCCTAAACGACTTAGCCAAATATGACTTCGTTCTATATAATAAGCACTGCCCCTCAAAAGCCGCCGCAATGTGAGTTTCGCCGGGAAAGCTCGCTCTTGACGGAGACGCGAGTAAGGGACCTTGTGGAAAGTGCACTTTTTCTAACACGTTTGTTCAAACACTATATACAATTTTCAACCCTTGCCAAGCTTTAATCCTGGTTATGGCGTTCCGTTGCCGACAGTCTCTGCCTACGGTTTACCAATAACAACTGGGTCATTTGACCAATCGCCGCAGATACGCGTCACTCAAAGGAGGTGTTTGGGAAAATGAATCATCGAACGAATCATTTGGGAGTCGTTGAGCAAATCAGTTAAAAATAAATGCATATTATAAGACAAATAAAGTTTTTTTTTATCCTTGCATGCACTTTAAACTGTTTTTGGGAACTCCTAAAACAAAAATAGGAACATTTCAAATGCTATGATAGGGGCTCTTTAAGATATTTTTTGATTAAATCTGAGAGCTGGATCACTCCTGCATACAAGTCCATAGGCTTCTTGAGGGATTGAAACTTGCTGGCCTTGAAAAGTTATTAAAGACTTCGTTAAAATAGTCCAAGTGACTACAGTGGCTCAATCTTAAGTTTATCAAACGACGAGAACACTTTTTGTGCGCAAAAAAACAGCAAAAATAACGACTTTATTTCAACTACTCAACAACTTTGCATCTTACCTTAAGGACAGGACTTTTTCTGTTTATTAGGGGAAATGTTTTTCATCTTGTTCTCAAATCTCCTACACTCGAAACAATGCTGGGTTGTTTTAACCAAAATTTGGGTCAAATATGGACAACCCCAAATGTTAGGTTATAAATGTCATTTAGAATTTTAACCCATCTTTCAACTTTTTTTAAATGATATTTTTAACCCAACATTTGGGTTTGTCCATATTTGACCCAAATTTGGGTTGAAACAACCCAGCATTTTTTAGAGTGTAAGGTGTTCTGCAGGGCTCTATTCTGGGTCCTCTTCTTTTTGCCTTATATATGCTTCCACTCGCTCATATTTTTCAGAAACACAAATATCATATCATCTTTATACTGATGACATGCTTTATTTTTTAACCACTTCATTGTTTAATCTGTTTGCATTTCTTCAAGACATTAAATTATAGATGTACTTACAGTTAAATAATAATAAAACTGAAAGAATAGTTTTTGGCCCAACAGCTGTGTCTTCAGGCATTGTTAATAAGCTCCAATGTACAAGACTGTGTTAAAAACCTTGGGGATATTTTCGATCTGATTATAAAAAGCTGATTAGTGATGTTGTGAAAAGAAGTTTCTTTCAGTTAAAATCAATTGCTAAAATCAAGATGCAATGAAAGACCTTGAAACTGTAATTTCTGCCTTTATAACATCAAGATTAGGTAACCGTAAGTCAATCTATCTGGTTTTGCCTAAATCAGCTCTGAAACGGTTGCAATTGGTGCAAAATGTGGCAGCCAGACTATTGTCTGGCGCTAGAAAACATGAGCACAGAATACTCGCCATGTTGATTTTAAGATTCCGCTCTTTTTTTTAAAGCTTTACAGTAGATGTTATCTCCTCACTCCTCATACTACCAATAGATCTCTTCGGCCTTCTAGTCAATTTCCCGCTCTTCTGGAAAAGTCTTCCCCTGTTTAAATCAAATTTAAATAAAAAAATATATATATTTGTTGTACTGCACTTTGGTTTTGACATTTGTAGTTTATTAAAATGCATTATAAATTAATAAACTAAACTAAACAGCTGTTCCTTTTGACATTGATTACGCTTCTCATGTATTTAAACCATGTGTTTTCTTACTTACTTTGTCCAGTATGGTCAATGTTAACACGGTTGTGTGTACGTTATCTCCTGATGGTTCTGATATGGACTTATTATTACGTTTTTTTTTTTTCCTATTCCTTTTGTTGTCACTGCAACTAACCGTGACAAAAAGAGCCAGACAAAATGAACTTTGGTTAAAAATAGAATTAGCCTTTTCATGTACATAGAGAGAAAATGATGAATGATTGACAAGTGATATGTCAAAGTAGTGGCATCCATCACTACTAAACAGAAAGAATGTAGCCTAAAAAAAAGATATGTATTGCTCAGACAATGCTCTTTAGACTTGTTGGAGATCTCAGTTACATAAGTGCCAACTTCATGTTTTTTTTTTCCCTAACATAAAAGATAAAAAGGGAGTCATAGTGATTCTATAAAAGGAATGTGTATAAATCACTTGCTCTTAGAATAATTTGATAAGAAATGTTTGAGTTCTTACTTATTATAAAGGTTCTTTATGTGGCATGAATGAAGAACCTTCAACATCCATGGAATCTTTCCATTTCACAAAAGATTCTTTACGGTGGAAAAGAAGTTCTTTAGAATTTCTTCACACTAAAAAAAAACACTTAAATTAAGAGTTTATTGAGATCTTTTGAATGCACACTTTGGTATCTTGGGATCTTTTTCCAAGAGAAAGATCTGTGAAACAGGAGAGCTAATCAAAAGCTCCATTTCTTCTCATTGTTATCTATAGAAGAAACTACTGAGCCAGTAAATAGACTTTTCTTTTATGAATCTGTGTACTGCCTTTGAGGAGTAAGATGTCAAGATGGAAGGTTGTTTCTCGACCCGATACAATGGACCTGGTTTCTTAGCTCAGTTGTGCTGAGGACGTGAAAACACTCCTTCGGTGAAAGAGTTTTCAGGTTATGCATTAGTCTAAAATAAATGGATCCTTCAAAACAAAGAGGATAAACACACTATAAATATGTCATAATCCCTCAGTTGATCCTGTCAAACGACTGCTAGGTATTGAGACTTTAATAAAGACGAGAGAGAGAGAGAGAGCAAAAAGTCACTGTACAAATGAACGTTTGTAATCAAGGAATTGAACTGCAGCGCAGAGTGAATACATCTGCTGGAAACATCACTCTTGTGACCAGAAAAAATCAATACAGCATAGAAAGAACGGAATCTGATTTTAAAAAAAAAGTCAATACCGTTTTTCTTCTGTGTGGTTTGTGTGTCAAAAAACAGTGGGATTTTGTTTTCTATACAGTGATTATACAACATTTTTTCCCCTAGAAGTTCACTTATAAAGTAGGCAAACTCAAGGTTTCTTGCACTAAAAAAAAATCTAAGATAAAGATTAAGATTCACTGCTACACACAAACACACACACACACACACATTTTGTTATATTTAAATAAAAGGCTGTATGTATGCATATATGAATGGATGGACGTTGTCAAAATGATCCCATACACAAAGAACAGCGGAAATGACTTAAAGCGCTGTATTCTGCTGCCAGGCCAGTAGATGGCGATGTCACTTTCTAAAGAAACAAACACTGTTTCACAAATTTGTGTTTCTGTAGTTTACACTGAGACAATATATTTTTTTTAAGTTGCACCTTTAAACATGCTTTCAAAGTAAAAAAAAATTGTAAATGAAAGGCTAAAACTGTAAATGAAAGTTTTCAGTTTTTAGTTGAAAACGGTGTCGTGTAAACGCCCTCTTACAAACATACTCCAGCATTACCAAAGAAACAGACAAAAAAAAGGATCTAGAGCAAGAAAGGTTTAAGGTTTCATGAAGTTGTTTAGTTAACAACCTAAATATTCCAGATGTACATGTTGCATCGCTTTCGTGACGCGTTTCAAAGTCATGTTCTCCTACAAATACCGTAAAAAATAGATAAATGGACAGAAAATGTGAATTTGCCAAAAACAGCTTTTAAAGATCTGTTCTCTGTAGGGAGACTGGCTTCAGACAATAGTTCACACTACAGGATTTTAAGCCCGATTTAAGCTCGATTTGCAAATCGTTGAGCTCGCCGACGGGTCAGGGTGTTATTCCGTGCAAATCACGGGGGATTAGTGATAAACGCTTGCCAGTCTGCTAGTATGAAAGAGCCAACCACGCATCAAGACGCATCAAGACGCCTCGCAGACCCAAGCCCAGAAAAATATCTAGCATGCTAGATATCCAGAGCTGTCACATGACTCAACCTCATGTGATGTCATGAGCTACAGCCAATCAGAGCAAGGCATGGGTTGAGGTAATCGGGTAAATCTTTTTTTGAGTTTTTTCTCTGAGAAAATCATCGCGCAAACAGTTTGCAGCACTAGTTTCTTTCTGACGTCCACATTCGCGTCTTGTGTTCTTCGTCTTCTTCGCTAGGTATAGAGTGCCGAAGTTATGACATCACTTTGTAGTACAACTCGGAAGTTTGCGGCGCATGGGTTCCCTCGATCGAAAAGCTATGCATTTTCCCCAAAGACTTTTGGAAAACCGCAAAAAATAAGATCTGTGTTCAACAAAGAGTTGTGACCTTTACACGTTTTGTCTATCAAGATAATCTTTACAAGTTAATCCAAAATTTATAAATTTGGAAGCCTATATAAAGTTTAAAACACCACAAGCAGACACAATAAAGTTTCAAAAACCACAAGCAGGTTATAACTGGTGTGTTTTATGCAACACATTCTCATCCTTTGGCGTCATATAGGTGACGCCATATGACTTTTCGTCGAAATACTACGCACATGGCACCCTTTAGCGTCAATATAACACGTACTGTTATGGGTAGGTTTAGGTCTGGGGTAGGGTCTGCATCTCATATTGACGCTAAAGGATGCCAGTCACTTGTGTAACGCCTTGGGTTCTGTGTGTTATGTTGACGCTAAAGGGTGCCATATGCGCAGTATTTTAAGGAAATGTCATATGGCGTCACTTTTATGACGCCAAAGGTTGAGAACGGGCTCGTTTTATGTCACAGATCAAAACGTTTAAAATATTTTGTTAACCACAGACCTTATTTCAGGCGATTTAGCAAAAACCCATAGACTGTAGGGCTAGGGAACCGGAAGTGCTAAAATGCTAAGTGCTAACTCACTTCCACGTTTTGGCCTACAAAGTGACGTCATAATTTCGGCACTCTATTGGTGAGCGTGCTGTTTCGCGTCATTTCCGGCTCGTTTTATCACGTGATTTTTCGTGACAAAACCTTGTTTTATAGACAAGATAGAATCGTTGGGTGACGGAGTTGTTGATCAATCGCTGTGTCGTGTGGTGTGAACAGCTCAACAACTTGAACAGTCTCGATTTCACAGAGAGCAAGTCATGCAGTTGTTTTAAAATCATGTAGTGTGAACTACATCATCTGTGTGATGTTCGGCCCATGTGTTCAGCTCTTCTGCTCTGTGTTAATGATGTCTGCCCTTGATTGACAGCAGGGTTTGTGTGATTTGTCAAGTTTGTCAAGCTGAAGCTGAAGAGGTCTGTTGACCTCTAACTGGAGGCTACAATATAGTTGAAAGTGTGTGTCTGTATATATATATATATATATATATATATATATATATGACTCCTTAATGTTGACCTAAAACTTAAACAATTTAAATGATTTAAAAGGTAAATTATACTTTCTTCTTTGTCTTACAGGTCCAGAAGCTGTCAAGGATGTGTGAGTAATTTAATTCACGACATATCCAAACATACCATATTCACGAATCTGAGCCACAGAATGAATGTCACGACCACTAACATCCGACAGAAATTAATAACAGCACAAATGCGGAGCGCTGAGCTGATTTCAGTACAGAGCGGCTCAACACAAAATACACACAGACACATTTCACTGAATCCTGGGGGAGAATCACTCGGCCTGTTCCTGCTAACCGTTCAGTGGCTTTTGTGGTGCACATGGGCCCCTGAGGGTCCGAACGCATTCTAGCCAATCAACAATCATTACCCCCCCGATCCCCTCCCCCGGTTTACTGACAAAAACAGCAGACGGCAACCGTGCCATCAGTGGAAAAACGCCCGAGCGTGTGTAGACAGCAGATTTCTGTTATGACATCAGTCTGCGTCTTCTTTTTTGAAGTGCTTTTAGCATTTAACATCTATAAAAGGATACAGAGGAGCTGAATAATTTCTCTCCGTGTGAAATATTTAATGAGTTTCCACTCTCGATGCAAGCCGAAATTAACATGCTGTCGCTCGCTGTGAGTGAAACCATTTAGCTTCAGATTGGATTTCATAAGTTAAAATCCTATTCAAAATCTCCATGGTGAAATTAGAGAAACTGCATTTTTAATGATGAGTGAAAATTAAAAAAATCTTAGCGTCACCATGAAATTTTATTTTTTTTATGACATTTAGCACTATTTGATCTAAATAACTGCCCCCTCCCTCTTGCAGTCATCTATTGCATACTTCCTTACTATATAGACAATATCTGAATTTACAGTAATGGTGTGTTCACACCGAACGTGAATTTAATCGTTTGCTCGAGTAGATTACACACAAAGTCAATGCAAAGACGTGAATAGACGCGTCATTCGCGCCGAGCGTTGCGAATGACGCGAATTGGGCGACGCGTTTTGCCGCGAACGTCTTCTGCGCAAGTTGAAAAATTTTAACTCGAGCGGAAGATTCGCATGGCGCTTTGTTGCGCCAGCCAATCAACTAAGAGCTAATCGATACGTCCGGTCTATCACTGTTGTCGAAAATGGAGGAGATTCTGAGTGTTGCCGTCTCTGAAATATTAAATACTTTGGCATGTTTTTTTATACATTTATTGTAATTAAATCACAGCAAAAACGATATATGCTGTATATTTATTGGTGTTTTTCGTTATTTTATGAAACTGTCCCTAACCTGAGACAGATGGAAAGCCTGTAGTTGGCTTTCCTCCGTATGTGGGACTTCCACAACAAGAACAGACCATCAATATCTTTTATTTCAGACATGACGGAAACGTATGCCAGAAAGAAATTGTGTTGTTGTTTTTTTTATTCGCGAGTGACGCGGATGCGTCAATGGGTTCAAAATGTTCAAGCGTCTAACTAGACACGATAGTCGCGTATTTGACGCTCTATTCTCGTTCGGTGTGAACACACCATAAGTCTGCAAAAAGTACCCGGATGACCTGCGAGATTCTGAAGTGTTCTTATGATGGACACTTTACTATCCCATGAGGCAATGGTAGAGGATTTATGAATGGAAGTGAAGCGACGCAACTGATGCTGGTAGATCACATGATAATGACAACATGGCGAATGTAATTCGCCCAAATTAAATTCATACTATATAGAACATACTTTTTTAGCAGTCATTGAATAATTACTTATTCAAAATAAGTACCTACTCAAGAGAGTATGTGATTTTGGATGCGGCCCTCTTCTCTGATGATGCGTTTACTGTCATGAGGGCGGGGCAACCTGTCACTCACATGCGATCGACCAATAGCAAACCACAACCATCCAATCAATTCCGCATGATCAAAATCAAGCCCCGCTCTACATTTTTACTTGTAAGAGAAGTCGTTTCACTCAGATGTGCATCACAATGAATAGGGAATACTTACATTTCATGGTGACCTTTGTATTTTCAGTGGACCAAAAATTTGAAAATTGAATGTGCACTGAAATCTATTGAACTGGCTGTTAAATAGCTAGAGCTTGCTCGGCTGAGTGCATCAACAGGGTCTTGAGAAAACTGCTTCTGAATACAGTATGTTTTGATGAGTCTTTTGTGAGGCATCTTTTGAGCAGAGAGTAAAAATGACATAAAATACATGAGAGGTCACATGAGAGGCACAGATATGTCAAAATGGCTTCATCTTTATTCTCTTTATGCAGGACAGAAGAACCTTTACCAGATGATGAGAAACGAAGGTTAGACGGTCTTTTGATAACATGATCATTCATACAAAACCATGAAAACATCAATATGAGACTGAATCAGGACCATAATAATGGATAGCAGGTGAGATCTAACTGTGTGTTGTGCAGGAACTATGGAGGAGTGTATGTGGGCCTTCCTGCAGATCTAACCGCAGTGGCTGCCAGCCAATCAAAATCCACACGCAAAGGTGAGGACGACATTCAAAGAAAGACTTTCTAAGAACGGTAATTACAGTATATTCTGTTTGTTTTGGTCTTTTTGTCTATTTTACATGACCAGACCAAACATTTGCTTCTGCTGTAATGTTCAAAAAATCTTACTAATCGTTCTAATAATTTTGGCCACCACTGTGTGTGTATATATGTATATGTGTGTGTGTGTGTGTGTGTGTATATATATATATAATTTATTATATACACACACATGCATATATATATATATATATATATATATATATATATACATACACACATAAAGATAGATACGGAAGCCCTGAACCGCAACCTAAAAAAAAGTCAGTAAAAAAAAAAAAAAATCTGTAAAAAAAAAAAAAAAAAAAATCTAGCATTTCGAGATTAAAGTCGGAATGTTTCGAGATTAAAGTCGGAATGTTTTGAGATTAAAGTCAAAACATTGTGCATTCATAACAGTGCGCGTCCACTGGCTCAGAGCGTGCGCGCGCGCGTGTGTGTGTGTGTGTGTGTGTGTGTCGAACTGCCATGGATAAACCCAAAATAGTAGCTTTACTTTTATCTGGGCTTTCAACAAAATTCTACACACGTCACACGTGCTAGTGGCAGTGTTTCTGAGGTGTTTTCGTGCTCGTCTAGTCAACACTATCTGGGTCGAGAACACAACAGTAACTGTTCGGTCTCCCTCTTCAATGTAAATACGCTCTGGATACATTTTAAGTGCATCATTCTGTATCCAATCATTTGGCCGGATCCTGTGATTTCCTAAGATTTAATAACCACTTATGGTTGAGGAGAGATTCTCTGATATGATTGTAAAGCACTTTGAGTGTAGGCATATATGAAAGCGCTATATAAATGCCCTATTCATTCATTCATTCATTCATTCATTCATAAAGCTGGATTTCTCCATCCAGTCTGAAAAGTGTTTTCCGTGTTGGTTTTCCTATAGGCTAAAGTCTATTCCGGCGCATTATATTTTATAACAATAAAGTAAGTTAAGTAATTCAGATAAAAGTAAAAAGCTACTATTTTGTGTTTATCCATGGCAGTTCGACTTCACACGCGCGCGCGCGCTCTGAGCCAGTGGACGCGCACTATGAATGCACAATGTTTCGACTTTAATCTCGAAACATTTCGACTTTAATCTCGAAACATTCCGACTTTAATCTCGAAACATTTCGACTTTAATCTCGAAATGCTATATTTTTTTTTTTTTTTTTACAGATTTTTTTTTTTTACTGACTTTTTTTTTTTAGGTTGCGGTTCAGGGCTTCCGTAGTTAGATGATTTCAGTTTATACAATCTTATTTTACATGTGTTTAGCTTGTTACTTACTCGTTAGATATTTTTATTATTACTTTAATATAACTATGTATGTTTTATATATATATATATATATATATATATGTGTATAAATTATTATATATACACACACACACACACACACACACACACATATATATATATATATATATATATATATATATATATAATTTAAAAATTCCATATATATCATATCATATAATAATCCTTTTTTGTGTGTTTAAAAAATTGAAAGAGAAAAGTTTGTTGTATGTTCTCATTTTTTATTGTTAAATTATTTTAACAATTAAAATTATTTCAAGTCACTGAGTCAACCTCAAAAATCAAATAGTTAATTTGGGGACAAGCTGAGTACATGCATCGTGTACCATTGTGTATCGAACCAACTATCTCTGTAAAGTAGCCTACCATATAAAATAACAGACTTCTGAAGCAATTTATTTACTTATTTCACTGAAATAAAAACAAAACATTTGTTTCTCTATAATGCATCTGGCATTATGCAGCGATACACATCAATAGACAATAGAATATAATAACTAATGTTACCTTTTAGTCTATAATGCATAGGGGAAAAGCATGATGAAAGACCTCACAACAACACAGTCGTGATGAAGCAAGGGCTGCCTATAATGGCTGGTTATTACCCATAATAACCCTGTGTAAAAAGGAGGCAGCGTGTGAGAGGAACAGACTGCGGTATTACATTTAGATTAAACAGCACAACTACCAGAGAGACTTCACATTACATTACTGCTTAAAAACAAGTTTAATCTTTATCTGGAGAACAGCCCCTCGACGAGTCTGGAAAAGTCATTTAGTGTTATTAAAAGGAGATTTCAACCAAACAATAAAAATTCTGTAATCATTTACTAACCCTCATGTTATTCCAAACCTGTATGAGTTTCTTTTTTTGCTGAACACAAAAGAATATACTAATACTAATATAACAATATAGAAGTCAATGGCTGCCGTCAACTGACTGAGAATAACAGAGCTTAATAATACTAACACGTACTATTCTATATCTATTATACTGTATTAAAAAAATCCTTGTGTGGCGGTGGTCAAGCTGAGAATGGTCACGACATTTGCACATTGCTGCCCTATTGTTGATTTGACTGTTTCTATTGCTCACGCTTTGGATAAAAGCATCTACTAAATGATAAAGTGTAAATGTAAAATGAGTCCCGACTGCAAAAAGTGTGCGTGTCCATTTATGACCTGTCACCTTCTCTTTAACTTGTTTAAAGCTGCCCAGAGAAGACAGCATGCACACTTTAGTGCACGAGTTTTCCAATTAGTGGTATCTGTGGAAGCTCAAACCAAAATTAATTGTCAGATCTCTCCCGCTGTGATGTATACTAACATTTTCTTCTTTGGCAGACTGACTCCAGATCAAATGAAACTACAAAGCAACGGCCTCTTTAGAATTCAAGCTGTGCAGTCGCTGATTTACGACGGATATTAAGATGTTCGAGGATCGAGACGTTTTTGGAACTGAAACCAGAACCACTTCGGAATGACATCACCGTGACATCATACTGGCTGGCGTACAGAAGGGTTCTGTTTGGAACACTGAGCATTATTGTGACTCTGAATGTAGGGACTGTTGCCATGGTAACCGGCGACCGCCTGACCTCACGCTCCTCACATCCTGGTATTTTGGATTCACCACGGCAGGGCATTACCAGACACGATCGACTGTATGTCTCTGCAATAACAATACTTTTTTCTGACGCATTAATTAGATAAGAGGATCTGAAAAGGGTGGTGTAAGTGTAACCGCTTTGATTCGACCTGCGCCGAGCGGGATTCGATCCAGCGTCTCTGGCATGGGAGGCCAGGGGTGTAGTGAGGTTTACACACACATCTCTAACTAGCTTGGATCTGTTACACTCATCCCCTAAACCTCACTCCCATCCGGGTCACGGCACCAAATGTAACCAGACCTACTTGACCCGCTTTGTGCGGGATTTGAACCGGCGTCTCCGGCACGGGGAGATAGAACTGCAGGGCCGCAGAATTATACGTCATAGCAGCACTACTTTCATGTTTTGGAATGTTATAAAGTTTAAAACAACGTTATAATAATGACCATGAAGCCATGAAGTTGGCTTGTGAAAGTTTGGACCAGAAAGTTTGAAGTAGTTTGAAATTTAATTTAGTTTATATTTTAAATGAGTTTAAAGTTTAAATTAGTCTAAAGTTTAAAGCTACACTGTAACTCTTTTAGTTTATTCTTAGCTAAAAACACTTAGTTCTTTCAAAAATATATGTGCTCATTAATGTATATTTACTTCGTTCAAGTAATAAAGTATTCTCGTGAGTGTATAATATGCCATTGAAAATACATACGGGTAAGGGGTTCTAATGTCGGTCGCCATGTTGCCCCTCCATCTTGGAAGTACATTAGCCAAAGAGGGACATACCCGTTAATTCAAGCTTCGGCTTTTGCGTTTACGCTTGAGTTAACACTCATGGACAAGGTCGAACTGGAAGCCATGTTAATCTTGGACTACATTGGCCACCGTAGGAGTTAAAACGAAATCGGAATTGAGCGGAACAGAAACTAATATTCACTGGATGGTCATTTATCTTTTCACCCCTAGATGGGGGTAAAAAAAAAAAAAATCACACAGTCTAGCTTTAAATTAGTTTGAAATTTGAAGTAAAGTTTATATTCGTGTAAAGTTTAATTAGTTTGACTTTTAAAGTAGTTTTAAGTTTATACTAGATATACTAATTTATACTAATATGTTAATAGTTAAAATTATACTTTATCCATTTGTTTTGTTGAGTAACAATATAAATTGAACAAAGCTTAAAAAAACAAGGAAAACAAAGCTTGAGCATTTGAACATATGATTTAATTGAAAATAATTTTTAATACTCAACCAACGATTTTTTTTCATAGACGATACACAACAATAATATGATAGACTGAAAAACAAATGAATGCAATTCTCATGGTCAGTTTGTATAATACTACGCTAACAACTTACATCACAAACCATGAATTTGGCCTACAGGTCACATTAAAATTTTGTTGTTCAACTTTTTTAAAAATACAACAACCATTCACTTTTCATTTTGTAATTAAAGGTTAAATAAAGTATTGCGCAAATCTGTAATGACAGATCAATAGTATTGTTGAATATTAACTTAAAAATAAGCCTTTTGTATAAGCGTATAATGTTAAGAATGTTGCATCCATCAAAGATAGAACGTGTTACTTTATCTTCTTCTTTTCCTTGTTCTGTGTGTATATATCTATGGTTCTGTTAGACTGTTAGGCTGGCGCTGTCGTCCTCACACTGCTATGACATATGGTTCTGCGGTATATTGGGCACGGGAGATGGGCACTCTAACAAGGGCACTAAATACTGCTTACTGGCTTGCTTTTTTAGTATTTTACATATGTAAGCACGAAAACATAACAACTTATAATGTTTAACACTTAACATGACTTAACAAGAGCTGTTGACATGACTGGAAATAATGACATTAATATATAGACTGTAGTTTTCTTATACACTTTGATAGTCACATCACTATTGCAATTAACACATCTATTAATAGCATTTACTAATCAAAGAGTTCTTATATTTATTCTATTTCAGGTTATTGACCTGTGATTGTACCAATTTTTGTGACTGATGTGAATGATGTATTTGAAATAAAAAAATATGAGATTTTAAGAAAATGAATTGGTGTCTGCATCTGGAAGGTTTATTTGGGCTTTCCAAAGTACTTTTTAAATGTCCCATTGATGTTTATTTACACTATTAGTTTTAAGAGTATAAAATTATACTTGGCATACCCCTTAAACTAAGCAATTATGAGGTGTTTCTTCCTCATATCTGCTTCATGGTCTTAAAGGGATAGTTCACTTTGAAATTAATTTTTGGTATGTTTTAGCTTACCTCAAGGGCATCCAAGATGTAGGTGTCTTTGTTTCTGCAGTAGTTTCAATTTGATATTTTTAGGTCAAACCGTTCTTGTCTGTCAGTCATATAATGGAGGTCTATGGTCACCACCTCAAATGTAAGTACACATTGATGGCCTAAGACACGGTTTGTGTGAGAAAACTAACAGTATTTATATCGTTTTACCTCTTGTAACCACAGCCACGTACAAGTGATCTGAAGGCACGGGTAAAAAAAACAAAACAACGTTGTCTGTTGATATATCGAAATCGTCTTTCATTTAAAATTTGTATATCTAAATATGTTTAGATCTTCACAGTGAAAGGTAACACTACTGAAATCTATGTGTAAACAATGAGTGACGTACACGCGCGAAAGATCACTTCCGGGGCTTGCGCAGATAGAAGCGCCCTCGCCCTCAGATCACTTGGATGTGGCTGTGATTACAAGAGGTAAAAAAGATATAAATACTGTTCGTTTTCTCACACAAACCGCTCGTTTTGTGTCTTAGGCCATTAATGTGTACTTACATTTATGAGTCATTAAATCATGTCTAATTTGGACTTCTCTGTGCATGCTCTTTGAGGTGGTGACCATAGACCTCCATTATATGACTGACAGACAAGAACGGTTTGACCTAAAAATATCAAAATTGAAACTATTGTGGAAACAAAGACACCTACATCTTGGATGCCCTTGAGGTAAGCTAAAACATATCAAAAAAGAATTTTAAAGTGAACTCCCTTTAATAGATTTTTGAGAAAGTTTTGTAAATATTCCCTTTTGGAATTGCCTGGAAAACCACCTCATGCGAGCGTAAAAACTTTTTTGCGAGTTTTCGTGAAAATGAAAAATTTCCATTGGGTAGATTTTTAATTTGCACAATTTGAAGGGTAATGTAAATGCTATGACTACAACAAAAATCTATATAAAAATTACAGACCCTAACTATGTAGATCTAGTAAACCAATGTGGTAACACTTTACTTGAAGTGGTGTGCATAAGACTGACATGACACCTTCATAATCATGACAGGACACTTTACTTGAAGTGGCGTGCATAATCATGACAGGACACGTTTCCTGTCATGATAAGGAAGGTGTCATGTCAGTCTTATGCACACCACTTCAAGTAAAGTGTTACCAACTAGGTAAACCTTACTGACCCAAAACTTTGTAACGGTATATTATAGGATGTGCTCTTTGGCGACTGAAAGTTACATAGGTTCATCAGGTCAGTATTTTGATTTCTAAGTTCTTTAAAACACCAGCACATGACTAAAAGGTTTTTCGTGGACGTTAAAATGGCATTATGCTGTAAATCCTGTTTGTTTCTAACTGGAATGTTTATTTTACATTTTTTAATATTATAGTGTACAAATTACAAACATAAATACATTGTCTGCAGTAGAAAATAAGAAACTAAACAGTGCGAGTGGTTTTTCTAAAATCTTATCTGTTCCAAACCTCAAGAAATTCTATGAAACCGAGTCCTTGCAGAACATCACACAATCACAGGGTCAATCATTCGCTCATCGGACTGCTGCTCAGAAGAACCTTGGCAACAAAAGCCATTTGTTTCTAGGTTTATACATGGAATTATTCATCTCAGTGGAAAACCTTGGGAGACTCAGTGCTAAGAAAATCAATACACACTTCTCCCCAAGAAAGACGTATGATTTGAAGAATCGTGTCATAGAACAAAGTTTGTTCAAAAAGAAAAAGGCCAATAAACAGGTCATCAGAGAAGAGAACTTATTTTGATTAAAGAATATGAGGGCACGTGAATTTAAAAACTAATGATGTACATTTGTATCATTTATAATAATAAAAATGGCAATATTCTATAAAAAAAAAAAAAATTTCAATAGTGGCTTTTAGAGTGTGAAAGTTCCACATGATGGGCATTTTAGCATAATTGTGTGTAAAGCCACAAAAGAGGACTGAATTCGGCCCACATTCTGTCTGAGCGGCTGCTTTCTGTGCGCATTTCAGGTGTGTCAGTCATCGCGAGCAGCACCACATTGAGTTTATGTATGCTTATTTACTCTTTTTAACATCATTTGTGCCCTGTTCTTTATCTCTAATTAATGCATGTTTCTTTATCACTTAAGGTAGTACTGTGCTACGTGGATATAGTCACATACCGGCCGCAATAAACGAAATCGCAAAAAATCTCGAACAATATCACTTTATTTCAGTCATGACGACTCTCGGAGAGATTGGGATGGTAATGGATATGGCAATGTTAATGTATTTGGTCTTGGCGGAATAGATCTGCTACACATGTAACATACATGATATATAACCCCTGTAGCAGATCTATACAGGTGGAGCTGGGGAAGGTGGAGGGTTTCTGAAGGCGCAGCACACTGATAACAGCAACACTACTGGTATTTGAATGTTGCATCATGATGCATCAGCAACCAATCAGCTGCGCTATGTAGATGATGATGTGATCACTACCAAATGAGTTAAGGACCGATCAGCCTGCGCCATTGCACGACAATACTTGGTATTGTTGGTATCATTGCGATACCGTTGTGTAGTTTGGGAAGGTTTATATTGTCTAAAGCCCCAGTTTTTTAAAAACCTATGTGCAAGGATAAATAAGAAGATTAAAAAAAATATATATATTTAAATAAAAAATGTAAATAAATAAATAAATAATAAAGAACATAAAAACAAATTTGATATAAATAAATGAAATATATATATATTAAAATGAATTATAAAAAATAAAATTAAAAAATGTATTAAAATAATAGAAATATGATTAAAATAATTAATACAGAGTACAGTACTATAGTTCGTAGTTCATACTTCATAACTAAATATTTTCCCAAATAATATTTGACACATATATTACAATACTTATTTTTCACACTATAGATTGGGTATTTATACATAAAAATGTATAACTTTTGGGATGGGGGTCCATGGCATCTAAAAGATTAAAGGTACAATATGCAAGATTGTTTCGCCACCAGGGGTCGCTAACCTCTTACAATAACAAAGGCGTATATTAATGACGTATATTCCAAATTAAGCGGAAATATGGATCTTGTCGTCAAGCTGATGGATCTTTTATGGATGAGTGAATACACT